ATTAATTACATTCTCATTACTATACTTATCAAGCAGACATTTCCACCGATATTCGAATATTGTAACAAAGCTAACTCATTGTACTTTAAAGAAATCTTTAATAAACTTATCATAATTGTCTTTAAGATGGTTTTTCAAATTGAGAGGAATATTTTGAGCAATGTGAAACATGCAATGAAGAGAGTTTGTAGTTGGAAACTCATTACATATTGCAGAGAGTAAGGCAGGGTCCGCGTCAGTAAAAATAACCTGTGGAGTAGCACTATTTGTTGCTTGTTTAATTTGCTACAAAATCTAGCTATATGCATCTTTTGTTTCGTTATCTGTCAATACTTGAGCCACAAGTCTAGAAGATAAATGGTTATCAACCACCAAAAAAAGGGACACCGCCATCTCATAACGATTAGTAGCACTAGTATTATCATTTAGAACAAAATCACCAAACTTTAACCATCATTCAATTTGATCAGAAGACATATAGAATAATCGACGAAGATATTTACTACTAGGGTCCCAATCTACTTAAATATACCATTAGGAATCAGCATCTTTCTTGTTTAACAATTTCTCATACAATTTGCTGGCATCATTTGCCTGGTTATGTGATTTTGGACGAAACCGTTGAATTACTTGCCGTAGTACTGGCATATAGACTTTTACATAGTATTTCTCCTCAAGAGCTTTACGAATTTGCTGGGGGTTACAATTCATCTTAGTTACAAAAAATTTAACATCCTCTATCATCTCCTTTGTGAATGCTACATTTTCCTGAAAGTTATAACGTGCTTGGTCAAGTTCATGATTTTGGTGCTCGTTGATTAATTTTGAAATGTATACAACTTTGTTAGGATTTTCTTTTTCAGGGCATGACAGATTTATTTGCTACGTACATCCAACATGTTTAGTTGTGGTTTCTTTTTTTTGATCCTTGCTTTTAGTTGCTTCAGGTTGTCCAAAATGTTCACAAACCATTGTGCGTCTTTGAATATCACCATTTTTGAATTTTTCGATATGATAACAACATGTTCTGAATCCTTCTTTTTTTTATACTTTCTCAATTCATTCATAGCATGTTCCCAATCAAAAAACACCATGCCTACTTGTAATTTATAACACCGATCGTTTTCAGGATTCTCTGTATCATAGTTACTTTGATTCATATTATTTAGCATATTACTACTAACGTCAATAGTTTGATTATTATCATACAGCATACCAAAGATATTATCTACATAATTCCACTCACAAAAAGTTGCATTCTCCTGAAATTCTTCATGGTAGGCACCTCCCG